TCCTCTAGTGCTTCTCTTATGGGAACTCATAGAGCAGTGAAGTGGCCATGGCGTTGTTGCCTTCGGGAGTTGGAGTCATTGACTTGTCTTGTGTCATAGAAAATCCAGAGCACCCGAGTCTCCTTTCCCCTGCAGTAACATCCTGATCTCAGTGGCATAGCACTGGGGGATGCAAGAGGGGAATGGGCTCTAGGCTCTCCACAGCTTCCTTCCCCCAAGGACAGGAGAGGCTGTGGGGAACACTGGCTCAGGCCTGGGACGCAGGAGGAAGGAAGGGAATTGAGAGGGAGGATTTACATGCTTTCCTTTCTGAGCCCTCGTGGCCCTGCTGTGAGGCATGGCGAAAAAGGGCAGCCCCATTTGCAGAAGCTGAACAAGGAGCCACCAGGACACATGGCCCATCTGTCGTGAAGTTGGGAACAAAGCCCAGGAAATCAGGTGCATTCACTACAACGCCATCCTTCTCCCTTCAGGGAGGGAAAGGAGGGTGTTGGGGGGAAGGCTTGCACATGGGCTCCCTAGTGTACTGAATCAGTGCTCCCTTCCCTGCTACCCGCCGGCCAGCATTCTCTCTAGCTCCCTTGCCCCACTTTGCTATAGGGGATTGATCCCCCTTCTCTCACTACCGGGGATTAATCGCTAGCACATTGATTGCTTGATCCCCGCCAGCCACCCCCCGGGGCTGTAGGCTAGCACATTGATTGCTTGATCCCCGCCAGCCACCCTGGGTGGCTGTAGCAGCTGAAATATCTGGGATGGCCGTGGATCGACCAGCAGCTAGTGTTGCGGGAGTGAAGGGCTTTTCTGGGCCTCGAAGCTCGAACACGGAGCCAGTCGGGCAGCAAGGACACCTTCCCTAGGCCAGACCTGGAGACCAAATACACATGCTTCCCTGAAGAGAAGAAGGAAGCGTGTGACCTCCGGCCACTGTTCACTGGGGTCTGTGATCTAACGTCACCCGCTTTCCAAGGATTCCACCTGCCTTACAAAAGTAAAGGAATGGGACTTAGCTCTGGTAAAGGCCCGGGGACGGGCCCTCCATTACTGCTCAGTCCTGTGGCTGCAGTGTTTGGTGCTTGGCAGGCCTGGCCGAAGATCAAGGTGATTGCCTTGGGCCCCATGCCCTCAGGGCTCCATGCTGCCCAGGACCCACCCGCCTAGCCATTCGCTCGCTGCCCTAGCCGGGCCCCATAGTCAGGTGCCGCCGTGGGCCTCGCAAACTCTTTAGCCGGGCCTGGTGCTTGGTTTGGAGAGGATGTGCGATACATTCATGATGCTTGTGCCACTGCTCAAGCATCTTGGTGATGGGAAAATGCATGCGTCATGTGATTATCATCACACAAACGCACTGCACTGGACAAGTGTATCTGTGCCCGGGGCTGATGCTGCTTCGGCTCTATGCTAAAAGAATGAGTCCTTCAGCTCCGGTAGGAGAGGCTCACGCTTTCCACTGAGCGGTGCTAGGTTCACCCCTCCAGCTGGGGTGTTCTCAGCAGCCATGGTTAAGTGAATGACACTAAAATCTTCTTCAGGTTCCACAGACGTGGGTGGGACGGAGGATCTGCCACTTCTCACAACGTCCGAATACACTGCCTGTGATCAACAGCTATACCGCACCAGATCCCACAGCGGAGATCAGGGACTGCCCAGGGTTCAGGGCTGGCAGAGGCATCATAAGCTTCCCCTATGCTGATTCCTCCAATGCACCTCCACCTGCACCTCAGAAACCATCTCTGGAGCTGGTCACATTGAATCCACGGCTGCTCTGCAGAAACCCCCTCCAATCGGAGCCCGCACAGGGAGGTTTGTTGTGATGCACACCCCTGCCTGCCAGGAAATACACCATGAGCCACCAATTCATTGCACGCAAGCTACCAAGCATCAATCGGATGCTGGCATCATTTAGCCACTACCGAGACAGGCGGAAGGAGCTGATGATTTAAGGTTGAGAGGCTCCAAGGTCATTATTAACCCCTCTCGCCACCCAACCCTGCCATTCTGGGAGGGCCATAGAGCTCTGTGATTCCCAGGAAAGATGCCGCATAAACAAATCAATCATGGCAACCCACGGAAGTCCTTGATACAGAAGAGGTGGGCTCCCTGTGGCTTCCCATCTTATCTCTGAATACCACGGAAACATGCTGGGCCTACAAGACACATGCCTCACTGGATAGGTCATCAGAACAGCCAGACTGGGTCAGACCAAAGATCCATCTAGCCTAGTGTCCTGTCTTCCAACAGTGGCCAATGCCTGGTACCGCAGAGGGAGGGAACACAACAGGGAATCATCAAGTGATCCACCCCATATTGTCCATCCCCAGCTTCTGACAGGCTAGGGCCACCATCCCTGTCCTTCCTGGCTAATAGCCATTGATGGATCCAGCCTCCATGAATTTATCTAGCTCTTTTGTGAACCCTGTTAAAGTCCTGGTCTTCACAACATCCTCTGGTGAGGAGTTCCACAGGTTGACTGTGCCCTGTGTGAAGAAATACTTCCTTCGCTTGGTTTTAAATCTGCTACCGATTAACTTTGGTAGCTAGAAGCACTATGCTTAGATATCACAGTGCTGGGCCCAGGAGAAGAGGAGCAAGGGAGACCACACCAAGCAATGGTCTCACATTCCCAGACCAAGAGGGCCCTGTGGTTCTGCTCTGAAACCCAGCAAACCCTGGTGGCTTCCGCTGACATTCATTTGGATTTGATGGGTTCATGCAAATCAGCACCTCTGGGCTGATTTGCATGAACCCCCTTAGCTTTCACACCACTCTCCAGCAATGTCCCCTGTGAGTTGAATGCTTGGGCAACCCCCTCAGGAGAGATGCAGGGACCATCCAGCTGTTTAGCAGCACGCCCACAGCCTCTTTCATCCCACAGCATGTGTTTCTATGGGTGGTGCACCTCTGCACATGCTTTGGGGCACATAAAATGTATTCTACACATGGGTACTGAAGAGCAATGTTCCCTCTCGGGTTTTTTTTCATCCATGATAGCCACAGGCAGGAGTGGCGCTGCTGAGAGATGCAGGGACCATCCAGCTGTTTAGCAGCACGCCCACAGCCTCTTTCATCCCACAGCATGTGTTTCTATGGGTGGTGCACCTCTGCACATGCTTTGGGGCACATAAAATGTATTCTACACATGGGTACTGAAGAGCAATGTTCCCTCTCGGGTTTTTTTTCATCCATGATAGCCACAGGCAGGAGTGGCGCTGCTGGGGCCCGCAGGCCAGTACCATGTCCAAGTTGCTATCGGACGGCAGCGTGCAGGGACTCTTGCAGGAGCAGACTGTCACTACAGGGTGGGGAGGGGCGGAAATGGCCCATGAG